GAGCCAAGCTGAGCAACGTCAAGTAAAAAGAAAAGCGCGTGAGGTAGTGAATACAACTAAATCTTATCAAGTTATTACAACAATCTATGCTCATATGGATTCTTGAAGAAATACATCACCTTTTAGATGATGAGGATATTTGGAGTTGTATAATTATCTGGGGAATTGGACAGCATTCAATTTTAATGAACACTAATATGACTGACTGGTCAAGCCTTGAATTTTGTATATTAAATGAAACAATTTATCCTCTTATTAAATTTGTTAGGTTTTCTCACGTCTCTAGAAATTATTTTATTGAACATATAGTACCTTATTTGTTACATTTTAAAACAATAGACAATGATGCGATTCATTATTATCTAAACACCACTAGCATAGAATCCCAAAATCCATCCCTAGTCTCATTATATGATTCTATATTAATAAACCACACTCATGCTTCTTTTATAGCAGATTGGATAGATAAAGGAAAATCAATTATGTCAACTCCTAAACCTAAAAAACACTCTAATCGCTTCTTATTCCCATTTTTCAAACGCAAAAACAATTCTAAAAACATTTCATCTTCGCCATCAAAGAAAACTCATTATACATTGGATCTGCTTTTCCGAATGACACGCGATGGTCCATCTACGTATCATGACAGATGTTTGAAACAAGGTCCAACTTTGGTCATAGCAAAAATACGTTGTCACTCCAAAACAATTATTGTGGGTGGATATAATCCTGTAGGATTTAATTATTCTTTCAACATTGATATATCATCACTTTCACAAACCTTCATATTTTCTTTTGGAAATGGTGAAGGATTAGAAAAACTCTCAATGGTTAGAGTTCAGACTGATTGGTCAAGAATGGCCATAAAATTTTCTAGTGTCGGCCTTTGTTTTGGATATGATGATTTAACCATTAATTTTAAGGAAAGAAGTTGTGAATTTAATAAATATTTCTCTGAACTTGTGGAATGTGAAACTTCTGAGCTTGTAGATTGTGAGGTTT